GGACAATCCTTACGCCATCGATCCAGGTGAGAAAATAAAATAACGCAAAAGGGAGATCGAATGTCGCGTCTTTCGAACTTGAAGAATTTACTGTAAATTGTCTCTTTCATAATGTCGATTTCTCTCACAGGCAAAAATATAATCAAAACGTCGTGATATTCTTTTAGTTAGTTTAGAATTACAATTTCGATATGCGTATAAGTAACATAAAAATGTGCTAATTTGTTTTTATAGAATATTCAAGAATCTTTCGTACGGGCGATTACGCTAAAATTGTTAAAGACTTAATAATTTATGAAGGACGAGTAGATTCGCAGATCAAGATTAGAGGTCACCGTGTCGATCTCACGGAAGTCGAAAAAGTAGTCGCCAGAATATCTAATATCGATAAAGTCGTGGTTCTTTGTCACAAACCTGGTGAACTATCACAGGTAAATATTGCAATATACAATACAATATATGCACAAAAGAAAATGTACTTGTGATAAAAAATTCGTAAACAATAATTCTTTTAAATTTAATTTTCCCTAAACATCTAAATATCTTAGAAGGTATTTAAATAATACGTCTATCTTTTTAATCGCTTTAGATAAAAAAATCAATCTTCAATAATTTTGATAGCACGTAATCTTGCATTATAAAAAGAATCGATATAACTTATCAATTGAATATTTAGTTTATTCTAATAAACTATTTCATTATATAGTTTCATAACTTTTAAAAATATTTCTTTGTTGTCAATTAACATATCCACGTATTCTATAAACACTGTCTTTAAATCACAAAAAATATTAACATTAAATATTATTAAAAATGTTAAATTGATTTTCTAATATTAAATTAATTTGCACAGATAAATTTTATATTTTAAATGTTTAGGCATTAGTAGCCTTCGTTACCATTATGGATGGAACAAATTTATCCAGTTCAGAAATCGAAGATTTTCTTCAAAGAACGCTTCCGCCATATATGTTACCACAAATTTTTATTATTGATCACATACCTCTTCTAACCAATGGAAAGACGGATCGACAAACATTGTTAAAGAAATATGAATCATCTTATTCTAATAACGGTATGTCGAACTAATTACTTTATATCGTTTTGATAAAATATCATATATATCGTGATATTTCTTTAAGCTATTAAGTAAGATAAAATATTAATTATTTCATTATAGATACATTTTAATTATAAATAACTATTTTATTTTTTAAAAGTAGATATTTGTAATTACAATGTGAAACGTATTATCCCTCTATCAAGCAAACTAGTTTATGAATATTTATTATTGTATCTTCCTATCAACTTTAACATAAATCGTTACATATATTTGAGATTAGAATAACCTTTCTGATCTTTTCTATAAAATAAGTTAATTAAGTAACAAATGTAAAAAAAAAATAAAAAATAGTTTATTTTATTTCATTTTTTCATGTTTTATTTCTTACCGAGTAACTAATTCTGCATATTATAATTTGCAACAATTATGTTTTAAAAATAAAAAAAATCTTTAGTAAGAAGAAATAAGACAATATTTTAATAACAATTTTTAATCTATAATCTCTACTTTTTCATAGATAAATAATTCAAATATACAAAATAAATTAGATATTACTCAATTTCTTTTAATTACGAATAAAGAAAAAATAATTCATTTTTTAACTCAAAAAAAGATTTATGTTTTACTGGCTCAAATATTTTATTTTAGAAGACGACTTTTCTACAAATTGCGATTATAGCGGCGTTCCAAGTCAAGATCTTGCAAAAGCCCACATCCTCTTTCCGACTATCGCATCTGTAATCGGACGTAGTAGTCGAGTGTTGATAACGTTACACTCGAATTTTTACGAGCTTGGCGGAAATTCCTTGAATTCCATTTATACCGTGACCAAGTTAAGAGATCAAGGTTATCAAATCGGTATTACGGATTTTATTACGGCGAAAAATTTAGCCGATGTATTAAACCGGATGAAGCTCATGTCATCCGATGAAGAACCTCTGAAAGAAGCCATTGATCAGAAACCATATGTCTTTGAATCATTAAGTGATTGCCATAAGGAGGTCGCGATCGAGTAAGTATTGTGCAAAATTCAATTTTAAGTTCATAACAATCATATATGCTTGAAACAAGCAGGGGACATTTATTTAAATTTGCAGAATAATCACAGAGAGCTTTTACTTAAAAGCCGATTTGGAACAGTGGTTAATACCAGACATAACAAGGGGTGATTATCGAGAATTAATGGAAATTATGTGGGAGTTTTATGTACAGAAAGATCTTAGTTTCGTGATAAAATCGGCTCAGAGTGGCAAAATAATCGGGGTTGCTCTGAACTTTGATCTTTGGGATGAACCTGCAGTAGTAGTGAAATCTAAATTAATGATCATTTTTGATTTCCTCGAATATGTGGAAGGACCGATCAGAGACTGCAAATTACCAAAGAATAAAGGTCAGATAATTCACATTTCCATGATGGGGACAAACATTGATTTGAGTCCCGCGGAGAACGTGCTTGTAATGAAACACATGGAAGAATACTGTTTGCAACTCGCCAAACAAAAAGAGTACATCGGAATTTTCACCACAAACACTAGTCCGCTCACACAGGTAAACGATGAATATAATCCTTTGATAACTTAGCTAATGCTAATAATAACAAAGAAAGTACTTATTATAATACATAATTTTGTGAAATTCATGACTGGTATTTTTTTATGTAAACTTCAGCAACTTGGTGCGGACGTACTCGGCTATGAAACATTGCAGATATATCAAGTGAATAAATACGAGACTCCCGAGGGATATAAACCTTTCGGTAAAGCTCCTGACAGCCAAGTGGTAATTTGCGCATTGAAGATGATCAACTAAAATCATTTTAATAAATATTAAATAGTGCGAAAAGATAGTATTACTTATTAAAGATAAAGGATTGTTCCATCTTTCGATGAACTTCAGCTCACTGTCTTACTCTCTTATTTTCTTATGCTCTTACTCTTTTACTATTTTATTTATTCAGTAGATAAATTATCTCATAGTTTATCTGAAGATGGAACAACGGACCCTAAATAGTGTAAACATGAACTACTTTCATCGATGCATCTGACCATTAGTAGTCCAGTAATTTCAAAACATTTTCATATCGCATTGTTATTTGCTGTAATATTAATGATAAATGTATCAAAATAATTCCACGAAACAGCAACTGATCGATTATTTATATATGCTATTTGTCAAATATAACTATTGTATTTTCGATATTGTTCCTCATTGTTTTTCATAAATTAAAAAATCTTTAAGATTATTTACTTTAGTGTAAGAATCTATTTTATTATTTATTAATATTTGTATATAAAAATGTGATATAATTTTCGCAAATTTTAATTATAAGAAATTTTCTAAAATTAAATAATTGCATGTTATATTGTAATATTTCACAGACGCATAAATTTCAATAAAAATTTTAATTAAAACATTTTAATAAAATATAATAAAAGTATTCATTACAAGTATTACAATAAATACTTTTACTAAGCTATAAATTTATTATAAAAATTTATTGTAATCTGTTTTTAAAGTGTTAGTAGTATACTATTATTATTATTTTATCGCAATAATTATCTTTTTAAGTAAAAAGTATTACCCGAGAAATATTTTAAGTATAAAGTATTATAAAAAAAAAGCAACTGTTTTATGATAAATTATAAGTTATTTCTTAGTATAATGTTAATTATTTAGATTGTAGTCTTATTCTATGACATATCATAGTAAAATAGGAGTATAATAATTATTTATTTTACTTCACATAAATAAAGTACAATAAATTTGTAATAAAATTAACACTTTAACACGATTGTTAAATAAAAATATAAGTAATATAACATTAATATTTTACAAATCAATACAAGTAAATTGCCTATAAGAGCCTCCATGGTTGTTAATGTGTACATAATATATTTATAAAATGATAGATACACATAATAAATGATAAAAGATATACACTCACACGCAAAAAAACCGGAATACTAAATTTTTGCACAAATTTTTAGTATCTTCAAATAACTTAGTAAAAAATCATCGTAACGAAATGTTTACAAAAGCCTTTTAAAGCTTGAAATCTCTACTTTCCAGATTAGTATTTTAAAAAATGTACTGATATTATGTAAAGTTACAAATATAAACAAAGATGCATAAATTCTCAAAATTTTTTACGAAATTTGCCAAGTTTCACGGCGCCAATTAAAAATTGCGCACAAATTTCGTAAAAAATTTAGATTGATATTTATATATTAGCTATAACACATGTATAAGACTTAAAAAAATAGATCATTGACATCATATCATTTATAATGATTATATTGTACAATTATTATTAAAGATAAATATAATATTTTTAAGTAAAATAACATAAGCATGAATAAAACAGAAAGATAAAATAAATAAAAGATTTATAACAATTGTGTTTATATTATTTATCTATACTTGTCATTTGGAATATTCATGTATGAACAATTTTTTTACCGGATAATATATCACAGTTATACATAAATATTAAATGTTAAAATTTAATAGCATCCTCGATAGAATTATTACTATTTATTTTTTACAAATCAAAACTGTCAAATATATGAATGGAAGAGAGAGAGAGAGAGAGAGAGAGAATAAGTGAATAAGTGAGAAAATAAATAAGAGCGAGTGAGAGAAGCAATTTAGACATAACCTCAATTTCTATCATAGTTTGACAGCATTCGATATATTACACACTAATGATTTGCTCTAATGGATTAGTAGTATTTAGTAACAGAATTGTAGAATACCAAAGAGTAAATTTTTGCATATAACAAAAGTGTGGAAAATAACGAATATCTCAATGTATCATTATT